GTATATTCTTTAGGTTTGCTTAGAAATATTACTTTTGGTCTTGTATATTACTTGAAACCATAAGGAGAGTACGCGATCATTAAAAAAATTTGGGTGCCTCACAAACTCTCCGATGATCATCGTTTCCAATGTGTGAACATTGCTTTGTCTTTTCCGGCATGTAATGAGCATGAACCATTTTTGGACAGAATTGTCACCAGAGGTGAAAAATGGATTCCTTATGCAAATATTCAAAGCCAAAGACCTACAGTCCTAGAGAAAAAACTACTTCCGAACCCAAAACCTGGACTCCATCTGCAGAAAGTGATGCTTTGCACTTGGTGGGACATCAAAGGAGTAATTTCATTTCAAAATCCTGAAATAGCTGAATTTCTAATGGTTCTTGACACAGTTAGAAAGCCAGAATAATTCTGATAGTTATAGGGCTTTATATTCTGCTTTTTTCATGTTATTATTCTGGTTTATTTGGAGCATTATTTAATTGAATAAAAAATTATTTAGTGTAGTAGTTTCATTAGTATAAAAACATCAGTTTAAGTACCATCAACAGTTGACAGCAAAAATAAGACCCAGATAAATACTTAATTTCTTGTTTTTCATATGTATTCTTTATTTATTATTATATAAGTAACTCAGGTGTAAAAATTAGAAACATTTTAGGTAAGACAGGGTTAGATGAGGTGAAATAAAGAAGGACAATAACAAAAAAATTTTCATGAAGTACATTCACGAGCATTTCACAAGTAGACCAAGTGTTATTTGCAAGTAATTTACAATTGTTATGGCAGGAAAATTAGTTTATACATGGTTCAAAGGGCAATAAAACAATAAAATTTAAGTATAAACTGATGTATACTGTTATGATATTGAAGCTATTTAGGATAAACAAATCAAGTTTTATGTTACAATTTGAAATCATTCTAGAAAGAAAAAAAAAGGGTAATTTAGATTTATTTCGAATTTTCTTTGAGTAGTTACGAGGTTGGTCATATTGATCAACCTCATATCGAGTTAGGGCAGAGAAACTAACATATATAATATAAAGTTTCTCTGAAAAAAAAAACATTTGATGTATATTTATAAGATTTTAGGGATTATGCAAATGAAATTTGAAAATTTTCAGATGTAGAAATCTTATTCTTATTATGAAAATCACTTTGCACTCAGGCCAATCAACACTCTGACACCATGTAGTTAAACAAAGTTTTAGTAAAAATACATAACTAACATTTCTGACTTTTTGTTTATAAAAGATACAAATTTTGTGAAGATACAATAAGTACTTTCAGAGCTATAGTATGTGTACCACCATTGTTACAAGGTTCTGTAAAATACAAGTGCCCTTTCTGATAGGGTTAAACACATAATGAAACCTTTTTTTTCTCTTTTCAGCCATGTAAGCCAACATAGCTTCTAGTTAAACAAAAATTCGTATAGACATTAAAAGCTTAGCTTGGTGGTATGTCGTTAGAAGAAAAGATGTTTTTGAATAAAAAAAAAACTTTGGCTAGAACTATAGCCCTGATTGTGAAAATGTTGATTTATAATTTTATATTTCATTTGAATTATGAAACTGCAGTATGATAGTAAAAGAAATGTTTTTTCATGGAACAAGATGAGATAGGCTTAGTTAATTCATATTGCACTAGAACGTATCGAGTTTCCTTTTGTTGACAAGGTCACTGTGTCAGGCTATGTGTACATTTAGGCTTTATCAGTCTACGTTACTGCTTGAACGTACAGAGAAATTCACGGAAAAGAAATGTAAACAAATATATAAATGAATATTAAATGAAGTCTTCTGATTAATAATTTTCCAAAAAGTCAGCTTTTTTACAATTTTGTTACAGTAAAAATAAAGAATATATATATAGAGAGAGAGAGACACACACACACACACACATTCTAGTTCAAAGTAAGCTGACCTTTTATTAAAGTTACTCTTATTCTGCATTAGCTTGTGGTTCTAACTATATTTCTTAAGACAATGCCAGTACTTAATGCTTTCACCAATCTAGTGGCACTGCACTAATGAAAAAGAGTACAAGAGAGTCAAAACTTAGTTTTGTCTACTAAACCAGGCAGTAGACTTATACAAGCTTACACTAATCACAAAATAAGAAATAAATCATTTTAATTAGTTCAAATCCATAAAGGGAAATGTTAGTAAAATAAGATTGAGTACAGTCTTTCTACTAGTTTATGAATAAATCCACCAATGACTAGTTAATTATTCAAACTTTAATCTCACCATGATGACCCATGAGGCTCCCAGGGTCCAAGACAAACCCAACAGAAGTCTGCTTTACAGTTCTGATTCTTACAGATCATATGGTTACAACCACCATCCTTTTCTATGGTGACATTACATTTGGGACATTCCTAAAAGGTTTCCAGAATACATATAAACTTATTGTCACACTCAATCAAAAAATTTACAGAAAAGTATCTCAAACATATACAAGTTATATGATACACATATTATTTTGCTTTTTTTTTCAAAACTTAAGACTTTCTGAAATAAAAGAAGTCAAAATATCAACTACCTTCATGCAAGTCTGAAATATATCCCTGTTTGAAATTAAATTTCTGAAAACTAGTAACATACAACATAGTTATGAAAATTTTCTCACTAAACCCTCATAGAAACATAATTTTGTGAAGAAAAATGGGGTGATGTAAAAATATAATTACCAGATCACATTCATAGATATAATAAAACTATAATTACCAGATCACATTCATAGATATAATAAAACTATAATTACCAGATCGCATTCAT